TGGCCCTTCTCGCCTTTAACGCCAGCCGTCACAGGGTATAGCAAGTAACGAAATATGTATCAACTGTTGTGGTGATTGACAAAGAAGATTTCCTAATTAACGAAGGCGATGCTTTGTGATGTGATGGTGCTGTTAATAAAGTGGTTTTGAAGATGGGTGCGATCATGTGAGATTTTATCCACTCGGCGAATCCGTAAAACGTACCTTGAGTATGAGCGGTCAAAGTTAGATAACTTCTTAATATCCTCCATTCTCATTGGCCTCTCAGCCATATAACAAGAGCTAATTGCAGCTATATGGACGCGAATTTTCGTCTTTATAATGATTTCGAGAAGGTTTCGTCAATCGGAAAAATTATGATTTGTTTTCACATTTGTGTATGTATGAGCGAAATTTTTCTCCTCTCTAAATGAAAAAAAAGAGGAAAATTTGCATTTGCATATATGCGATTTTTTTCCAAAAAAAAGTTTTCATTAGAAGAGAAAAATTTTTAAAGGGAATTTAAGTGGAATGGGCTACGTACGCGAAAAGTTTTGGCATATAACATTTCTAGCTGTCGTTATTTCTTACAATTTGCCTGGTCATTTGGGATTAGAGTGGATCTAAGGTATTTAAAGTCGGGCATTTCTTCAAACGGTAAAAAGGGCATGTTATCGGTTTCTTGTATATAAGACGAAAAGGCTTTCGTTTTTGTTTATATTGACCTTGAGTCCAATTCTCGCTGCAATTGCCGACACGTTATTTAGCATTTTATTATAATAGCAAAAAGGATTACATCTTCAGCGTATTCAAGATTTGTGATACAATGTTCTGGATTAATCTGTACATCTCTTGAATGCCGATGTCCATTATCCACTCTACCGTATTGTTGAATATTGTAGGGGAAATAACGTAGTCTTGAAGGATGATCAATTCTTATCTCGAATTGTTCCCTACACATAAAGTGTGCCATATATGCTGATAAAATGCCTTTATGAGTCAAATGATCTCCTCTGGAACATTATCACGTTCTATCACCCTCCAAAGGGCCAATTGAATAAAAGAGCAAAATTTCAAAGTCGATAAAACACGTAACAGTGGGTTGCAGATACTTGAAGCGTTATTCCAATACCCTTTTTAACGTGAATATCTGGTCGGCATAACTGTCTCCTGGCCTGAATCCAGTTTTGTTAGGACACATTCTGTTATCTCGCGTTATCATAAATCTGTAGATGGAAGCGAAAATTTTTCTGGAGATGTCTGGAAGGCTGATTCCTCGATAATTATCGTAGTACGTCCTATCACCTTAATAATTGAAGCAGAATTGCTTTGATCCAGTCTTCTGGTATTATTTCCTTTTGTCATACCAAAAAATTTGAGTTATCAACGATGAACGATTTGAATGGTTTAGTCGAAGGTCATCATCTTCATCGGGAATTTTAATGGCCTTAAGCTTATGGGTTACAGAAATTATTTCCTCTTCAGTTGGCGGTTCACAGTTGCTAACGTAAGGCTCGACAGGCGAATCAGTTGTATCCAGGGCAACACATGGCGCATCATGGTTAAATTTGGTTTCTTTCCTTCCATCATATGGATTTACCTTCCATCAAGCGATTCTTAATAGCCTTAACAGTCACGCCATTACTATCATGTATCATTTCACTAATAGTTCTCCAGTTATAGTCGCTTTCTGAAGAAGGCGAAGCAGTTTCCCATCATCATCTAATTGGACCGTCGTCTCCATTCTCAAGGCCATATTGCGCGATTTCTGTCTTGCTGTGCTGTTATTAGAATTCTTCGAAGCCGGGATTTGCTATATATATATATATATATGGAATAGAATTTTTTTTAAATTCAGAAGTTGGATTGGATAATTTAATTTAATTGATTTAATTTATAAATTATTTTAATTTTCTATCTTAAAATTCTTTAAAAAAATTGAAAAAATTTAAAACTTAGATGATTAAATTCAGAAAATGAGAAATAATGCATGGAAGGAAGTTATGTGATAAGATCAAACGTTTAAGCTTTCATTTTAGGGGATTCAAGGAGTTTCAAAAGGGTCAAAGATACAAAAAAATTCTTTCGTCACGAAAAGAAATGCAGTTCGTAATCGTTTTCATTCGATCGCTCGGGAAGTAAAAACGAACTATGAACGATGTGGAATGGGCAGTCTCTCAGTTAGTGTCATTATCGTTTCTCTTATATTTAAATATTTGCATTTGCATATTTTATCAACTAATAGTTGTAATCAGGGGTTAAAATAGCTGTATTGAATATTAACTTAGCATTTTCCTGTTTTATAAAAATTTGAGTACGAAATTTGGAAATTTTTATGTTAAAATTAATTTTTCATTTTTCAAAACGAATTATTATTTTCGATAATTTCATCGCTAATAACCCTAGAGAGTTTTAGATTTCTCCAATATTTTTTGATTCGCCCAATTTCTTTTCTAAATCATCTCAATTCGCTAAGAAATCCTCATTAATATCTCAAAATCATCACGATTCGGAATTTTTAAAGATGGTATCGCTTATTATCGTTCATTTTTTTTCACTATTCATTATCAACGTTATTCGATAAATTCTACAGAAAAATTTTCTTTGATAATAGCTCAGATATTTAAAAATAATATTTCGCCTAATTGGCTTTTCATTTGGCTTTTGTTTTGTTTTTTTTGTTTTAATATTTATTTCTTTTAATATAGCAAAATGAGACAAGCGAAGAAATGCGGTCGATTAGAAGTTCGTTCTTTGGTTCGGTTTTTATTAACCATAATTCAACTATGGTCAGCATTCTTCATTTCTTTATGTGCTTGCTTTATGCATTTCTTGTATATAAAGGTATTAAAATTTTTGGCATAGATGCTATTGTTAAAGAAAAATGGAATAGCTTTCGATAAACTGATTTTTGATTACTGATTCAAATTTGTTTTTCATTCATTAGGATTCACTATAAGTGGTTGGTAAATAGCGGCATATCGGATAGTATTTTTCCATTCATAGGATGCATTCTTTTCTCGTTGCATTTCTGTAATACTCCCAATATGCATTTATATTGAAAGGCCGTATTAAAAAATAAGTATTTATTACAGCTAGATTGATGATAAAAACTTTATTAACAGTGCTTTTTCTATGTTAATTTTCTAACCCTTTTTCAGATTTCGTTTTTAATTTTTTTTCAAATCGTTTTTTTTAAAGAAGTTTGTATCAGAAATTTGTATTATAATTGTATTTTCCAATAATATAGTTTTTTCAGATTTTGAATTTTTTATTAATTGACTGAGAAGGCAACGAATTGTGGTTATAAGTTTTTCATAAATTTAGGCATTTGAGTATGTTAATTAATTGTATGTTAATCGGTAGCTTTATAATAATTTTGTTTCTAATTAGACTATTTTTCGCTCAATAGTAGTGGAAAAACTTTAAGTTTCCAAAAAATATAGATGAAAACAACATCTAAGAGTACCCATACTTCTGGTTCTCGTCCAGCTGGTTTGCTTAAATGGGATCCAAGCATCCAGGTTTCACTTTTGGTAAGAGGTTAGGTAGAGGTAAATTAAAAGGGGTCAGAAATCGAACCTATGACGTTCGAGAAAGCAATATATTTTGTAATATCCAAGCATTTTATTCTTTTGTGATTCGTCCACCATTAATATTAATGTTGATTAGTGTGTGAGTGAGAAAGGCTAATCCAAAAATCGAGTATTTTATCACGGCATCAAGTTCAGTTATGCATCATCTTTGAAACTCTTTCGTTAAAGCAAGCTGCTCTCACCCTTAAATTCAGCGTGAATTAGCCTAGCCAGTTATGATGGTTCGAAGAAGAATGAATATACTAAATATTGATTGTGATAAGTTAGCAACAGTAAATAATGAAACAGTAGCAATAATGATAAAAAATGACAATAATATATATATAATTCCATCGTTATGAAATCGTGCAAATCCCAAACTTTTAACTCAACTACCGAACTCCCAACAGAAATGGAAGGGACAAGAACCAAGGACAGAGTTATGCACAGACCTTGTTACCATAGCAGCGAACCGATAGAAATTGGACAGTCTGCACGAATTCACATTTAAGGTGCACGTTTAAAAAAAACAAAAAAAGAACTTCGTCGATAGGATGTTTTAACCAACTTTATTCGAGTTTAAACTTGCAAATGTGAAAATCGCAAAAGTATGACTGAAATAACTCTGCTCCGAAGCAAATTCCTTCGGTGAATGTTTCAAATCACATTGGTACCAAATACCGTTGGTTATGGCTTACGAAATTTATATACCCGAGTTCGAAAAGAAGCAGAAATATCCGCGCCCTTTTCTTTCTTCCTATTTTTCTATTTAACCAAACGCCCATGTCAAAAAATTTTCCCTTATTGCTTAGTTCTTTTAAAGCCTTAAATGTGGATCCGTGCAGACTATACAATTAGTGCTGCACTCATTTGCACTAAATGCTTTATTATTACATATCGGTTTTTCCCTCTCATTTTTTCAGCTATTTTTTTCTTTGTTTTCGTTCTTTTTTCACATTAAAATTTAGCTTCCCAGGAAATATATAGAAATTTAAATGAAGATACTTATTCAATACTTAAGGTTTTTCGAATATTTTCGATTTCAACTTTTTTCAACAGAAATTTTGAAAAAACTATAAAATTTATCTGATGCAATATTTTTTTGTCATTTTTGAACTTATATTATCAAAAATCGAATTTATTTATTATTCATTAGTAAATAAATTGCTCAATGCATCACATATTAAAGATTTAAGGAATTCTAACAAGAGAAATAAAAACTAATTATTCAAGTTTAAGTAAAACTGAATTTCACTATTGCTAAATAAGCCAACGTCTACGCCTTCACCTGCATTACTTTAAGTTGCTCAATGCAATTTTCCATGAACTTATCTTTAATTCCATCTTTATTGGTTCTAATCTCTTCATGTACCTGAAATTTGATTCACTCTTATTCTGATAATTTGTTAAGTCTGAACTGAAAAAAAACTAAATTATTCTTCAAGTTTAAGTAAAACTGAATCTGCGAAATTGCAAAAGTTTTTGATTAAAAGCCTGAAAAATAAATATTAATTTAAATAAATTGGCAAAAGTTACAGAATCTATAATCCATTTTAGCATGTGCTCTTTTGCGAAACGCTTTTTTGTTTCTTGAGTTTCCCGAAGATAATCCAGACGACGTTTCATTTCCATATTTACCATCTCCACATTCTTCCTATAGGCTGCTTCCAATTGTATCGCCATATTTTCTTCAAAAATAGACGGAAAATTTTCTTTGATCAACTTGATCGATTCAACTGTATCTATAACATCCTAAAATATTAATGATCAATTAGCAGAAAAATTAATCAAATTAACTTAGATTGTTATTTGCAGTTCTTTCTCATTCCGCATTTCGTAACAAATGAATTGGGATCTTCACATACCCATTACCTTTTTCTTTTTTTGACAATCAGCCAGTTCATCTGCCATAAGTTTTTTGTATTTTTCGTGCTTGGCAGTTACCTTTCTGAACAAATAGTTGTTAAGCTGATCTAAAAAAAAATCAAAGTTATATGATCTAAAATAAATGCTTTTCAAAGAAAAACAAATTAAGAAAAAATTATACTTTTTTCGCCATAGAATCTCTTTAAAAAATAAAATAGCAGAATCGAAAGGTTAAGAAAATATGAAAGGAAATATGAAATATAAATGAAATAAAATACAACTTACGTCCAAACGCTCTGGAAAATAAAATATAACTAAATATAATCATTACAGTCCACATGTAATGGTCATCAATTACAAGCAATTCTTTGTTTAACAAAAAGGCATAAGTGCCAAAAACGAGAAGGTAAGGACCTGAAAATTCGAGCATTTTAATTTTTGATTCCACAGTTGTATGTTTATAAAAAAGATGCAAAGTATGCCAAAAATACCAGAAATGCCAGTAATGTTATAAAAAGCCGTGAACCATGAATCTGGAAACATCAACATGCGAGTTTTTGGCGCGTACATAAATCTTGCTGGGAAAGGATAGTTCACCTGAATAAAGATACATATAAAATAAAATAAAGTATACCAATTTTAAACTATGCATACATAATGAAGCATTATCTAGAGGGATAAAAGAATAATAAAAAGAACCATATCTTTTAAATCAATTTATGCAAAAAAGAAAGAATATCTGAGATATTGACAATCAGAAACGTTAGTAAGAAGAGGGAAAAAAAGAATTTAAATAAAAAAAAATCAAGAAAAAGCACAAACCAAATCACGTTCTGGATATTCTTTGAAATCTTTAGGCATTGGAGGCAATGGCACAGGTGCAACCCATTCTTCTTCCAAATTCTTTTTAAATCTTGTTTCATATGGTTTGGTTTCTCCTTTCAAGGGAAGACCTAAACAATATCGCGATTAAACAAAAATGAATGGATAACTAACGCGTAAAAAGCAAAATGATAGAGAGAATGTGTTAAAAAACAATTAAATAAATGCAAAGAGATTACAAAGAGTAAATAATGGTACCCCTGAAACGAGTCAACCACCGATCTAGAAAATTCGGATTGTCCTTTTGATATGATGGCGCAAGCAATTGTCTCAATTTATAATTAATAGCTAAAAGCAAAGGATTATAACAATGCCATAAAAAAATGAAAAAATAGAACGCCTTTTAAAAAAAATGAAACTTGAAATCTGTAGAAAATACTCAATTACAAGCGACGAAACATAGATGGATTGCTATTGTCATTTCTGAACGTCCGTGCTGAGCCTTACTCTCAACGGGATTAAACCTATTTTCTGAAAACCCAGATAATGCTGGACTCACCCATATTTCTACTGCCAAGCCAAGTGACTCACAGGCAAAATTTAACTGCTCAACAAAGCTATCACAATGAACTTAATCAGAAATGGAGGAAGAAAAAAAATTAACGCTCTCAGAAAAAAGATGAATAATGAATAATGCCTATTCTTATTTTGCACACATCTAATATCGATTTTATAAATATTTACTTGCAACCAATATAATTAAACCACAACTTATTTAGTCTAATGATTCCTACATATCATATTTTAATGAAGAAAACGGAGGATTTTAATCAGCAAACAAAAATTTTCTAAAAAAAAAATCCTACTTATTACTTATTGATAAGCCGTATTGATAGGCTTCTCCTTTAGAATTGAAAAAAAGCAAACTTGTATTTCTATCCATAGGTGACTTCAAAGAAATAAGTAAGAAAAATGACCCATTCTAATAGCTAGAGAAGCCAGTCTAACCAGAAATGGAAAATTTTTGTTTTTAATTTTTAATTTTTTTTAAACAGTCCTTCATTATTACTGGCTAAACTCGCTCCACTGACTTGTCGCAATTGAGTAATATGACAGGAAGTCCCTTGGCGATAGAAATACAGGTGAGTCGACCCGGATTTTTGTACAGGTTCACTCCTGTGAAGAATCGAACCTCAGCATCCACGCTCCCAACAACCCACTGAGCTATTCTATTCTACTCTAAATGGAAAATGTTAAACAATAAAGACCTTCCATACCATTGCTAAATGAAAAATTGTTTAAAAAATATATGTATAAAAGTTATGAATGATAGGAAAAAAAAGCAATGAGGATGAAAATAACGTAATAATATAATCAAATACATCCTTAAAAATTCCATTCGAAATTTTATACAAAACTTCACCATAAACTTCAGGTGGTGCTGCTGACCTGCTTACAGTTCTATCGTCCCTTGATTCCTGGTAAAAAAATACCCGATCCTACAAGCTAGCTGAGCAAGCCTAATCAGAAATGGTGAGCGATATCAAAAAAAGAAAAAATGAAAATTTGTAAAAATAAAAAAACAGAAAATGATACAATCCGCTTTTTTCGTGTTGTCTTCCTTTGGTATTTTGGACTGATCAGTTGCTGTAGCCACTGCACGACGAACCAAATTTGTACGTATTCGTAAAAAATCAACTCCTACAAATGATTACCATATATTTTTATAAAAATATCATTTCTACAGCGAACATTGTTTGAAAAACTATTTGAGAATTCAACTTGATATCCTTATTAATACAAAAATCACTTGGCATTATTTAATGAGAAATACTTTTTTGCATAACTTTTCTAACATCTTGATTCAAGCAATCGAATTGTTTTTCTAATAAATTTTTAGATGAAAAATATAATAAACAAAAAAATTTTTTTGTAGATTATTAAATTGATTAAATATTAAATTAAATTCTACAAATAATTCTATAAATAAAGAAAATGCATTAAACGAACAAAATCAATTCTAAGAAAAAATTTAACTGAAAATTCAAATTCAAAATTTAAAATTGTTTTCCTTTGGTATTTCGGACTGATCAGTTGAAGAAAGAATTAATTAATTCTAAATTTAATTTTAAAATTAAAAACAATGAAAATAGAAAAAAATTTAATAAAAATAAAATTATACCAGATATGCAGAAAATTCCATTGTAAGAAACATAATAAATACGTGAGTTCGCCAGCAATTTCAAATGCCTTAGTGACATTTTCCCTAGAAAATCTGATTATATCAATTATGAGCAAAAAAATTTGTGCAAAATTTAGATTCATTCTCGGACATTTGCGAAAAAAAATGAATTTTCCAAAATGAAAATCTAAAATAACTTTTTTTCATAAATTTAAAACATTGCAAAAGTGCATGAAATGCATATTTTTAAAAACGATGTAAAATAAAATGGAAATAAATGACAATTCTTTTTACTCAATTTAAAATCAGTTTGCCAAAAGTAAATATTTACGACCGAAATAAAATGTAAATGAAAAATTTTGAGTTATCTAAAAAAACTAAATCTAAAAACTAAAAAAAAAATTTTTAAAAACTTTCATATAAATTACACTTTATCGTCGATAAGTTGACTATTTGAAATTGCCATTTTTTACTTCGAAAAGCTTGTGCCTAAACATCTTAACATACAAATTTTATATAGCTTAAACATATATCAACTGGTGCTTAAATAAGATGACGCGCACCAATTTTAATGTATTCCTTCCTCTCTGACCTTGATTTTCCAGCATACGCTACATTATATAGAACTAATAGTATTCAATATCGCAATAATCCTACACGGTTACATAGCCTGAATTCGCATAAATAAGGTTTAGTCAATGCTAATGATAAATACCAGCAGTATAAATAAGAAGAGATTTCTGGAAAATTGATACGCCAAGTTTTAAGATCGCACCCACAAATATATTCATTTTAAAATATCGCAAAAGATAGATAAAAGATAGAAAAGATAGAAATTGATCCGCAATTTCTTTAGGTTTCTCTTACAAAAAGACAACTGGATTCAAACCATTTCGTCAAGGGGAAGAAGGATAGGCAGATCCACAGCAGTGCCGGAATTTCCTTTTAATCTTACAGGATTAGAAAGAAATAAGTGGTGCTGCAGCGCAGCAGTACTCCCTTGTCACTGTGCACCAAACCACTTACCTCTAACGATTAATCACCTCAGAACGTCACCTAACGGTCACCTAACGATTAATCACCTTAAACATCTCCAAACCCCCTTTAAAAAAAACAGAACCAGTAATGACGACAAGCAAATACCGAAAACATGTAATCGATACAAGACCCTTCTCAAAAACTGCAACTAAAATGTCAATTTAGCAGTTTACTCCATCCTCAGTCGATTTCAGTTGTGTGAGTTGAGCTTCTTGAGGCTCGTTGTACATTTGTGAGTCCTATGTTTGGGTTGAGCGCAATTTCTATTTCGTTTTTCTATGCGTTTTTTCCGAATCGATCGCATAAACCGTAAACTCATTCTAGAATGGCGTTTATATGGTGCATCGGTGATTTAGCTGCAAGACAGTGGTCACCGAGAATGGAGGATGGTTCGAATATCGATCATTGCCGTCAAGCTGCAATGTGCAGAACGCAAAAGCAAAAGGGAGTGCAGTGGCTTAGTGGGTTTTTGCTTAGTTTAGACGATGTTGGAGTTGACCGATAAGAGTAAAAGCAAACCTATCCTTCTATAATCCTGATGATGCTGGCGGCGACTCACCTGTGCTCCTATGACCAAGTGATTCTCTGGCAAAATGTCCAACAGGCCAGCGCAGCGATTCTAACCAGCAATAGCTCTTTTAAAAAAAGATAGCTTTCGTAATACACAGCCAATTTTATAGAATGCAACAAAACAAATTAGTCTGTTGGCTGTAGAGTTATTGTTGTGGCTAACAATGGTTACTTACATTCATTGTTGTGGCTAACAATGGTTACTTACTGAATGAATACATTAACAAATACATTACATACAAGCGATGCTAAATCTTAAACAATGTGAAAAATCTTTCAAAATTTCAATGGTTCTTTTTAAATTAAAAATATTTTGAATCCCAACGAAATCCACGTTTTTAACTTCTATTTTATCGATTCTAACTGATCGATTTTTGAACGTATTGGCCATCTAGCAAAAAATAGATTCAGGCGGTGGATAAAGAAGTTACCTGTGGGCACGGTGTCGAATCAAGTGGCTTGGAAACCGCTTGAAGTCAGTAGTGTCGGTCTAAACAGCAATGGTGCCTGCTTCGGGAGGATTTAATATGCGCAGTGGATTGCTTCGACAATTTGACGTTCTGCTGGGTGAATGCGAAACTTTTGTTTTGATCCTTCAGCGATTCTAAAGTTGATCGAAAGTATTTAAAAAGGATAAATGCATATTTCATAATTATTTAATTGGATCATTTGCATTTGGTGTTGGAAAATTAGAAAAATAAAGCTACGATTGGCCACGTTTGGTTAGAAATCTATTATCTATCTATAATCTGTCTGTTTTTATTGGAAATGAATCAAATATTCAGCATATATCGTCAAAGAAAGTCCAAACTGCTTTAGGTAAATGACCTATAGCTTTAAATTTATGGTACTTAGCGATGAGTTCACTTTAGCAGTAATTCAATCGTTTGGAGATCTTATGCCTTATTGCTTGTTGATTCGTATAAAAGCTAAAATCATGCAAAACCTTGAATCTAAAAATTTCTGTCTGTTTTATAATTATAATGAGATAATTGAGGCCTGATATATAATTAATACGCTTTGAGTTACGATGCTTTACGAAAATACATCTCGTTTTTTGCTTGTCTGAATTTTTTTCCGGAAAGCTTGAATGCGTTTTAAAAAAATTTCAAAGCTTTCGAGTTTCATGAATAAATTGAACATAAAAAAAGAGGAAAATTTGCGCGAGATCCATAAAAGAATATTCGAACTCTTCAGATCTTTGCTGCTTTATTCGCCTCCATGGAGGCATACAAAAACTGCTAGCTTGATAGCGGAAGTTTTTCCACCATTCAGCCATTTTTTGCAGACTGAATCATTCGACACAGTTTCATCAGAACCTTGGCGGATGCATACTTCC